ATATATATAAACAAAATATAAATTTTGAATACAATAATATGTAAAATTAGGATTACAAAATATAATGTTTTAAATACACACTATCAATCTAATTAAAATAAAAAAAATTGTATTTATCCACCTCATTATAATCTAGGTCCATTACTAAATGATATATCTAAAGGTGAGGTTGCGATTGTTTTATATGTTGGATGTCATAAAATTCACATAATGGTCTTAGTTAAATGCAAAGGTAGTGAATGAGTTCGGTATTTTAATTTCTGAAGGGTGTAGAAATCTTAATTTAATGTTTGAAAACCTTGTAGTAAGGATCAACTTTGTATGGAGCTAGGAAAACCCCTATATGCCATAATATATGTTTTTGCGTTTGCCAACAAAAAGGGAAATAAACCCTGTAATTCTTCTTTTTAAAATATCAAGTGCATCGAATTACATGGACTTTGGCTAACACATTTACAATTCTGTTGTTACTTTTTATTGAATTATCATGATAGGATAACAATAATCACTTGTACTCACTTTGCTATAAAAAGAAATTTATCAGTCACTTTAGTCGATTAATCTAACAGCAATTTCAGTTTCTCTCATTGGAACCATGTTTTCTAACAATTAATTGAAATGACAGAAATGAAGTAATTGTAGCAAAGATGAGGTCATATATTTTGATCAGAAATTTCTTGGGAGAATGACAGAGAGGGAAACAAAAACAGCAAAGAGAAAGAGCAAGAGGCCAGTGGAGTTGAGTATTAGTGCCTCTTGGCTTCGGAAAAGGCCAAAATCTTGAAAATATTGAACCAAACCCATCTCAGCAGTGGAAACTGCAAGGAGAAAGATCACCATGCCCATAAATTTGTGCCATGGCAAAAGGCTAGTTCTAGTAGACTTTTCTGCACCTGGGAAGAAAAATGCGAAGAACCCCAAGATATACTGAAAACAAAAATTACAATTTATTCACAAACTGGAATTGTACGTACGTTGATTTAATTGCACATTTACTCTCTTTACTATATTCATCTTTTGAATTTGGTGCCCTTATCATTTAATTTTATGCCAGTTTTATAGTCTTGCAAATTGTATAATATTGACAGAAATTATTGGGTGATTGGGGGAGTTGGTTGGATAGTACTATGTTGAATGGTGTATAACCAACACTTTTTAACAGTCTCTAAAGTTTTACAAAGTGGGATTTAGAAATAGAGTGAAAGATAAATTCTATTAAGGGTAAGATATAATCCCCATATCAGTAGAATTTTTGAAAGCTTCTTTTTACCAAAAATAAAAATTCAGTAAACCCTAAACTTTTAAAATCATTTTTAAATTTTTATTTAAACATATTTAAGATAAAATAATATTAAAGTTATTACTTTAATGTATGATTTAGAATTAGTACTTTAATTTCATTATTTTAAAGTTATTTATTTTAATCTATAAGAATTTCAATAATAATACCTTGATTAAATTTAAGTTCATACATGTATTATTTCAACTTCTACCACTAAATCGACTAGAGTGATTCATTTTAAAGTTGTTTTGAAGGGGATTTAGAAATAGGCAAATGAAATTAAGTTATAAATGGAATTAATTAATTACCTGTAAACCAAATAGGCAGATTGCTGACATGCCTAGCCAAGAGTGTAATGTATACATATCAGGAAGACCTGCTTTATTCTTAGATATGAAAACTGCAACAATCCCTAAAATTCCAGCCACTAGAGCTATGAAATGCAATAGAAGATGAACCACCTTCACTGACCTCCTTTTTCCTGGCACAGACTTGTATGCCATGATAGCTGTTGCAAAAGTAATAATACTATTGTGTAAAATGATAACACCAACTGAATTCAACTTGTGTCACTTTAACAATAGTTAAAAATTTCAGACTAAGCATATTACTCTTGAATGTACTCACAAGACAAGTCACAATATGTTACTAAGAAATGGAAAGAGAAAATGTTAGCCAAGGGAAAAATCGATCCAAACATAAAAACATTGGAACTAGGCTTAAAAAGCCTATTAACAAATCCAAACATAAAAATATCTACTTTGATTTTAATAATTTCCAAAGAATAGAGCTGTTAAAGCTTAAAATTTAGGCCTACTATCAAAAACATGATTTGTTATTAATTTTTATAAAATAAAAAAAGATCAAACATGTTGACAAAAAATCTCATATGTTGACAACATATGTATCTCTCATCCAAAGAAAAAAAACTATCTCAAAAAATTTGTTTAGGCCCCCTAATTGTTGGATAGACCCCTATAAATTCTTAACATTTGATATAATAGGATGAGTTCAAATACAATAAATTTAATACGCATCAAGATTTAAAAATGGTTTGTGAATGCAATTTTAACTGCAACGTCTATTGCGACCATAACATGGTCACATGATGATATTTATCTGCAAATATTTACAATATATTAAGGATAATAATAAAATTGATATTGTACCGTAATTTAAAACCTTAATACATATAACATAATCGTTGTTAATGGCTTTAATTTAAATGTAAGGTATTTGATTTCCTAAGTAGAGCTCTAGCTACTTACCTTCTCCACCAACTAAAATAAACCCAATTACCATTAGAAGTGGATGCAGCTGCATTTATGAAAGTAAATAACATGTTAGCAGGTTGACATGCATGCATGCTGGTCAAAACGAATTTCACACAACATAATCAATTACAAATGTTTTGAACAACTCACGTTGAAGATCTTGATTGGGTTGGAAGATTTGAAGGCAACACCTTCACGGAAGTGTAGGAGCCAAACTAACACAAGGGTTGTTATTGCTATGAACAACAAATGGGCAAATATAGTGATTGAAGTTGCTTGAACTTGGAAGCCACGAGCCATGATTAATTTGTTGATCAATTCAAAGGGTAAACACCTTTATGCTACCAAGTCACTAACTAGACCTTTATTAGCATTTGATTGCAAATGGATCTAAGAGATTAAGATATCCAATGGTGCTGTATAAATACAAGAAAACTGATGAAGGAATCAAACTTTGCACATATATTATGGGGATAGTAACAAAAGCGAATATGGAAAACGGTTTAATTTATGGCCGGCAGGGAAATTGCATGGTGAGTGGTGACAAGTGCAATATCAAATGAGGCCTTACTCTTGTTTGGTTTTGAACTTTGAATAAATCGATGAGTGTCGTCTATAATTAATTGATAAAAATCTTACATTAATCGATTAGTAATATGATCATGTATATATAAATAAAAATAATTCTAATTTTAAAAATCAATTTTAAAAGATTGAATTATATTCTTTTATTTTATCTATAAAAATTTAGGTGAGTTGAATCTTAGAATTTAATTAAATTAGGACAAGTTTCAAGGAATTATAAATATTTACAGAAGTATTTACTAAGTTATCTATCAATAAAGTCTTTACATCGACAATGAAAGTTCAAACTCACATTCTTTTAGATATAAGTTTTCTCATTATCAACTACCTATTTACATTCTTGTGCCAATATTATTTCTATCGTTGGTCATGTCAAAGACATTAATTAAAAATAATTATATTGTCTTTTTTTATTTTAAATCACAAATGTATCGTGTGTCTGGTTAATGTTTGTTACATTTTTTTTAAAATATTGAACCTGCAGGAAATTTTCCTTTTGATGCCAACAATTAGAGACAAAATTTAATAAATACATAGTAAATAACAATTTATATTTGTTTGCCTTCGTATAGTCCGTTCTGTATCTTCCAGAACACAGGCTTAGTTAACATTTAAAGATTATATTTGGCATTGGTGAAAAAAATTATATCAAGGAAAAAAAGACCAAAGCAAAAGCATTATTATGAATATTGTACTTTCATCGATCTGTGGCATTTTCCTACACGTCGTTTTTCGTATGCATATAGTTACATGTTACATCCTTTTACTTTTCTAGCGTATTTATTTAAGTTTTTATTTTCGTTTAATATTTTTTAAGTTGATTTGACTTATGTGATGAAGATGTTAAAATAATAAAATCCTAAAACAAGATATAGAATGAAAACGATATATCGTTATTAATCACTATTAGCAATAAACTAAATAAAAAAATCATGGATCTTTTATTTAGGAGCTATAAAATACCGGCTTCATCTATCTTTGCATTACCTCAAAGTTACAGATTTGAACGAGATTCCATCAAAAATAAAAAATTTATGAATCTTTTTATTTACGGTTATAATGTCAACACATACATAGAAAATTTACATTTTATATTAGATGATTAACGCCCATCGTAATAGGAGTATAAAATATAATATCTTAATATATTAACACTAATATTTTATAACAGATTTGACGTTACCCTATCACAAAATATGGACTTTCTATGATGTACACATTTTATAATAGGTATGATTATAGTTATAAAAGGTATATATTTTATGATGACTATAGTCATATCTATCGTAGAATATGCACTATTTTTTAATATCCTAATTGTTTTTTGAATTTTTCAAAACTTGCACAATAGAAATATATTTTAAGCATATCCTAAACAAAATATTGTTGTTCAATTCAATGCCTATATAAAACACAATATCTATCATTTGAATTGAAATAATGTACAAGTTAAACTACATAAAAAACTAAGTTAAAAAAGTTAAAGTTAACAATAACTATCATTAATTAATAACAATGAACAATTACTATAATAATGTACAAATGCTATAAAATAACAATGAATCTAAAGTAAATGTAGTAACCCAATTTTTTCCGGAAAATATTAATTTTATTTTAAAAAAAAAATAGCAAAAAAGGTATATACAAGAAAGAATAAAAAAGACAAAATATAGAAGCTAAATGTAGCACCTCAATTGTCATACTTTTATGGAGGGTAATTTAGTAATTTTCATATATTTTAGTAGCCCAGAACGGGTCGTTCCCAAACTGGAACGAGCCGTTCCAACCTTCCAAAAAGACCTATAATTTCTAACCCGGAACGGGCCGTTCCCAAACTAGAACAGGTTGTTCCAAGCTACTAAAAAGAAATATAAATTCTAGCCCAGAATGGGCCGTTCCCAAACTACCAAAATACCTATAAAATTCTATCCCAGAATGGGCCATTCCCAAACTAGAATGCGTTGTTCCAAAAATGGTCGTTGTGAGTAAAGATGCAACCCTAGAACGCCCGTTCCGAATTCAGAACGGGTCGTTCCGGTCACTCCTGAAAGTCTATAAATAGCAACACCTTGGCCTTCCCAAGGGGCCACACACGCACACACATCTCCACTTTGGACTTCTTCTTCTTCTACACACTCTGAAGACCAGAGGAGACCTAGAGGAAGAGACCAGCAAGTTATCACTTCTTGAGCGAAGAATAGTGAGTATATTGAACTCACTTCTTTTTATTTTTTTATTTTTTTATTAGTAATATCTGTCATTTTAAAAAAGATTATTTGTCATCTTAAATTTCTTATTTAAATTCAAAATATGATTAAGTATCAAAATATAGTGTTAGAATATTCAATATAAATATTTGAAGTATTATAACAAAAATGTTTTTTGAGGAATGGTTAATTAGATGTGACATCATTTTAACCTTTGAATTTAAAATACAAGTTGTGACAACAATATCTTTAAATTTTTTCTCCAAAAATAAAAATGTCCTATCAAAAAATCTTTTAAGATAAAAATATTTATAGCAATAATTATAATTAAGATTTTATTGAATTGACTTTGGTGTACACCTTAGTCAATTTTATATTTTTAGGGCGAATGAGCTGAGACAGTTCAATAATCCTATATTTAACAAAAATAAAATTTAATTAAAAATATCAACACACAAATATTTTTTACAAAGAACTACGTGACTCTGATTCTTCATTACATATGGAGAAATGTAGGAGCAAGAAATAAATCTTGTCGAGCCAAAAAATAAAAAATATATTAACTTCCTTTTTATATAACAATAATAATTTTAACCTTTTTTAATGCATTAGTTAAATTAGTTAAATAAAATACATTTGATCATTTTAGTGAGATAAATATTTTATAAATTATAAATAATTTGTTTAATTAATTAAAGGTAATCGGCTTAGGACGAACGTTGTGAGGTGCTAATACCTTCCTTACACCTAATCGACTTCCGAACTCAAAATTCTGGTTTTCGTAGACTATTTTCTATTTTATGATTTTTCCAATGTTTTTTTGTAAAAAAAATTACATTGGTGGCGGCTCCTTATTTTTTAATTTATTTTTCGCCGTCCCGTTGCGATTTCGGTTGCGACAGATGGCGACTCCAATAGAGACTATTTTTGAGAGTCAAGCCTATAATAATTGGTTAAACTAATTAATAATTTTTATAAAAAAATATTTATCTCACTTTTATTTTATTTTATTTTTTATTTATGTCCCTTATTTGTTGTTTGTCTTATTTGCATGAATTAGAGCATCTACAATGGGAGTTGCTTATAAGCAACTCCC